ATCTGTACTTAACTCATAGGTCAAGCTGTTAACAATAAGCTAGATATGCAGGATAATTCATTATATAACATATCATAAACTTTAAAAGTAATGGACAAAGTTGGCATATCATTTGTCATCTTCAAAATTCATTTGCTACATAATGCATTAAGACAATTCCCATACCATATCTATCAAGGCATATAGATTCAGTTAATATAATTAAACTGTAGACATCTACAGCTTTAATGAAGTTTTATGTAGCAGTGAATATAAATGTATTACGATCAGCATTTATGTAGAAGTTTGTTGAGGGAATATTGTTACAGGATTGAGTTCATCCTTGGAATAACTCCAGCAGTGTCTCAGGTGGTTTCATAATTGCTCAAATTCAGTCAAATGCTTTCAAACTCCTATTAAGGAAACAGCTTCACTGAACATAAGTGGCCATGCTCAACAGCTAGACTTCTACCTCAAAACTGAATATTCTCTTACAGCTTCTGAGGTTGGACTGATTTTTGTTATATCTGAATGACTACACTGGAATCACATCACCTTTACATCATCATATCCACCACTTTGCTATACAAAGGTAGGCTATATCTTCTAATATTTGCTTTCAGCATATACATTTTCTACGCAGGAAAAAGAAAAGTTTGTAAGCTTCCTTACTGTCCCTGTCCCTTCGCCTCACTTTCCCAACAAAGTTTAAAGACTTCAACCTCCTTATCAAATAGAAGCTGTTTATCTGAAGATTTGCTTATCCAAATGAATTACCAGTACATATTCCTTGACATAGTCAGTTAAGGATGGATGTACAGCATTTGGTAAACAGTTTCTACTTCATTGAAATGGTTTAGATAAGAATTTCTAAAGTACTTGCAGCTCTAGAGGAGCAATAAACTTTGTATTTAACAACTGTGTATTTATACAGGTTTTTCAAACATTTAAAAAACAGGTAGTGACTTTTAACACTCCAGCACAGATAGTTGGAGTAGTCAAAATAAAAAAAAACCTGGTTCTTAATCCTTTTGAAAACCATTTTAGGATATAATCACCATATAATTAGCTTTACGTCTTTCAGAAACCACCCAAAGCTAAAAATTGATTAAACAGCCACTAGACTTTTGTTTAAATGAACCATTTGAATACCATTTCCACTGTGGTACAGAACGTGGTTTACATAACATTTTTTTTAATAGGTAACCAGTAGAATTATAGCTACCATTGTTTTCAAAGCCTGTAAAGTAGGCAGTGAAACACAAGCAAGCAAGAGTTATAATGTACATTGTTGTCTTTGACAGCTGAGCAATATCAAAGGATAGTGAAGGTATAGGGGGATAAAAATCATATTAACACACATTTCTGTGCATTTTTAAAAACGTGATTTCAGTTTTGTGTAGACCAGAGCAGCGGTATAAACACAGGTCAGAAGATCACTGGCAGAGTTCAAGGTCACACTTAGCTTTTCAAGCTGTATGAATAGCTTTTCTTGCAACATTATTAATTACCATAAAAAGAGCAAGTTCAAGGACAAACCTGGGGTTTTAATGCAAGCTGAGGCTGTACACAATATCCCAGGAATGTGCAGCTCATTACTGGAGTGCCCAGCATCTTGCCGGATGCAACCCATACAGCACAAACTGCAAACATGATGTACAGTGGAACAGTTCATTTGCCAGGATATCACCCTCCAATACAGTTTATCATTTTATTCTTCAGAGACAATTTTTAAAATGTATTTTCCACTAATCTTCTTTTTAACACCCATTCAGCAAGTGCATTCAGAAACCCAACATACTTCATTTTAATACTCTCACCTGCAGAAGCCTTGGTTGTCATATGCCATGTTAGCCCCATCATCAAATACTGTTTTTTTCCTGAGTTTTTTGTTATTGTTATTATTTCTGCCTTTAAAACCAAAATAAGCAGCTTGCATGTTTTCCAGTTCTTCAGTTCTGAGCTGGTACCACAGCTGCATATCCCTGTAAACAAAGAAAAGTTGAAAATAGATAGCTCTGGCATTACTACAGTATTTTAACTCTTACTTGACTAAAACCTCAATCCAGAAAAGTACTTAAAAAAACAAGTTTCACATTATCCCTATGAGGAAACCATTGAAACACGTGCCAAACTTTAAGGGCATGTCTCAGTCCAGACTTAAGCAAGTGCTTGCCTGGAAAAGGAGGTTTTCTAAATTTACGACTTTAGACAGAATAAATATTATTTTTAAAACATCAATGTTACTTGTTAAGATTTAACCCCCCAAATCTATAAAAATCATCAGATCCTGAGCAATTTTTACGAGAAAGTAAAGAAACTGCAGCAAGGAAGCTTCTCTGAATTTTAGCTTATAGTAAGTTGCATTTATAGCATGAAGTTGCGTCTCTTCACAGATAAATGCTATTGGCATCAAAAGGAACTACCTATGTTCAGACAACAGGAGCTGGCTTCTTTTAAAGTGCTGATGTTACCAGGCTGCTGGCACCTTATAGAAAAATAAAATTTATTCTATTCAGAAAAATATCTCCTGGGTCATTTTTGAAATATTGCCTCTCCCCCAAGTGTTCAAAGAATCAATCTGGTCTTAATCATGATATCGATAGAAAAATGATGAAACTGAGGAAAAATGAAGATTGTTTTATTTGCCCTCCAGATTCTAACCCTTTAGAACATACTTGGGGCATGTTTGCAAGATTTTTTATTACCCAAGGGGATTCAAATCTTACTTTTGTTATTTTTAAACAGTGCCTGAGATGCTCACATAAAGCTGGGGCTTTAAGAAAGAACATTAAATACTACGAGGATTGCAATAAAATTGCTAAATTGGCAATGCCTGTTCTCTGTTGTTCACACACTGTTCTTTCAGGATGCAATGCTCTGCTGACTGAAGAAAAATGGCAGCTTTGCCATTGACTCCTACAGGATTTAGGCCACAAGGGGCCAAGTTATTACTAAAGATGTGAGGACTTTCTGAGGTCTCCCCCCTTTGTTTCCCTTCCTTCCAATCTTTTTCCTGCCCTAACTTGTTTTCTGTCTAGAAAACCTCTCGCCAAGACCCATCATTACCACTCTCTTCTCAGAGAGACGGTTCTATAGCTTGCTGCAAGCTGTTCTCTCCCTATGGGGTTAAACCAAACTATTTCCAGTTCCCAAGCTTGCTCAAGTTACAGGAGCAGAGAATGAGATTACGACCTGATCTGAGAGCCCCCTCGTGGCATCACAAGAAAATGGCATCAAACTAGCCTGAACTCAATAAATATTTTTTGGTGATATGGTTTCAAAGCAGTTGAATGCAGTTTTCTGAGTACTTAGGCATACAGTTGTAGGGGAAAGGCACAGAGATTTGGGAGGGGGAAGGGCACAAACTGAGAGGATCCAGGGAGGAGGATTCCTCTTAGATGTTGATGGTTTTACTAGGGCTGGCTAAAAAGTGTCCAAGCAGAATATTTTTGTCTGAAAATGCTGATCCATCACTAGCTAAACATTCTATAGGAATGGCCAATTTTGACAAAATTCACTAAAAATAAAAGTACTTCAAGGAAGAGGATCTTATAAGAATGAAACTGGCTACTACGTCATTTTGAAATGACTTTTCAATCACAAAAGGATTTTCTTTTATGTTGCAAATTATAATATCCATTTTAAAAGGTCAGACTTAAATTTAATTTTACAGGAACTTGCAGATTTCTTTGTAGCTTCTGTTTAGCACAAAACCAAACATTAGAAATGAAGAATTTCCTGTGAGATGGAAATTCTGGTTTTCACATATCTGAGACCAGCACTAGGACCTCCATGTACATCAATGGGTCTCCACCTCTTCTATGCACATCAACTGCCTCATCCAGTCTACACCCTTTTTTCCACGTTTGAATCCAGTGGGGGAGTGTCAGGAATGAAGGTGACGAAGCTTCCTGGCTGCCTACAGCAGGTACCACAACAGCTCCTCGGAGATAGATAGAGGTATCCAGCTGAGCTCTGGGCAGGTGTAAAGGAATCAGAAGAGCACAGACATGAGAATGAAATATACAAGTTAGGAGAAAGAGATAGTCAGAGGGATAATGTCAGCCGCAGTAGAGGAGCTAACTCTCTCTCTCCTCACATGTGTGTAAACCTTTGCTTTCTGCAGAAGGTGAGATATATGATGAGACAGAGCTGTATCCTATTGGGAACAGTACAAAAATCAGATGTAGCATAAAGCTCTATCTGATCACCCCATCACTTTTTCACAGCCAGGTTTTGAAACACACAGTATAAGTGTTACAACATTGTTAGGTAAGCTGGGGACAGACATTACACATAAACTGGTTTAAGTGATCAGAAACTGGTTTAAACCCGTAACAGAACAGACATTCAGTGCACATAAACCAGTTTGAAAATGGCTGGAACAGGTTTGAGATACACCTGGTTGAATGTAGCATCAGACTAAACTGATTTGGATCAATCTGGTTTATGCAATGTTTGTCCTAGACCCCTTCCTGGTTTAAGTTAGATCAGAGTCCCCCAGCATCCCAGCATGCTGTCTGGGCTGGGCTCTCCGCTCTAGAGAGCTGGGCTGGTGCCTTCCCTCTGCTCCCAGGCTGGAGCTCTAGCAGGGACTTGCAGGCACAGCAACATATGCCTGGCTTCCCCTGCCGCTCCACCCCCTTGCTGTTCAAGCAGGAATCCCTCCCTCCTCTCTCCCATAGCATGGACCATAGCCAGAATGTGGTATGCTAGCTAATGCAGATCGGTGTTTGTGTAAGGCAGACAGGACAGTGTCAGCTTAGGGCTTTTTAGAGCTAATCAACCCTCCTTGGAATGTTCCCTTCCTTGAAAAAAGTTGCTTAAGAAGAACTTGAACTAATGAGAGGCTTTATTTTCTGATGGAGTGCTAAATGCTGATAACAGCTGATTAATGCTCTGTTATCAAGAAGTGGGGGGGGGAAACCCTTCCCTAATCAGAGCATACTGCTGGGGCCTGGCCATACCCCCCTCAGCTCAGCACTATAGCGGGGAAAGGAGGGCTGCTCTAGTACCCCCAGCTTCTAGCCTGAGCTACTGCAGGTATGTGCCTGAATTTCCTCAGTCAAGAGTGGATGTCTGTGCCATTACAAACCAGTTCAGCCTAGCCAGGTTAGACTAACCTGCAAAGATTGAATCAATTCAGGATCAGGCTTTTTGAATGTCTTTCCCTAGCCATAAAGAATCCCTGCACATTTTAATAAGAACTGAAGATAAAGCAAAGGAGAAAAAAGGGGTAGGGGAAATCCTTAGTCATCCCATGGAGAAGAAAACCCAAGGAGAAGAAGAAGAATGGCACAGTTACTAGGACTTGAAAGACCCAGGTTCAGTTTCTCACTCCACCATACCCTTGCTATGTGACACCTAACCCTCACTGATGTCAAGGGAATTAGGCACTAATATACCTTTAAATATCTGGGCCTTAGCCTTTCTTTGGGTCTCAGCTCCCCCTCCTCCAAACAGATTATTACCTCACTGAGTGTCATGAGGATGAAGCCATTTACAAAACTAGGAGGTACTCAGATAATATGGCAACAGAGGCCATTTAACTGCCTTAGACACACAGATCTTCTCTCTCATCTTGGGATTTATGCTATTTTTGCAAGGTTTTGTGGAAGCGCACATACCTTTCAGTTCTCCTCCTTTCACTTTTCTTAACACACTTGATGAGACAACAAGTTAGAAAAGCCATAGACATCAGCAGAATGATGGCACAGCTTACAATGGAGGCAATCACTGCTACTTTAAATCCAAAAGTCTCATACTTCGATATGGCTGCAGGAAAGCAAATATAGAAACAGGTTTCCAAGGCAAACACCTTATTAAATTTAGCTTTCACATTCCTATTAAAATGTGCTGAGATCTACTTGTTTCACTGTCTTGCTAATAATAATGCAATGAAATTTTTCATGTCAGTATGCATTAAAATGTTCCAGGTATCTTGGCTTAATTTCAAACCAAGGTTGTCTCAGAGTGGACTATTTAAAAATCTACTGTTTATAAGTTACTAATGAACTGTTCACAACTATCCTACCACTTAAGTTAATTAAGCACGATGCTCTTAGCTTCACAGTACCTTAAAAGCACAACTTCGTCAGTCTGTTAAAAATGCAATGATGTACCAGATTCTGTTAATCAAATGTTAACAAGGACTAGATTGGCAAAAACAAATACTGGAAAAGAAAGACAGATGTAAAGAAGCCTATTCTGAGAAGGTTAGTTCCGTATAACTGTATTTTATTTTGCACATCAGGTCACTTTCTCTTTTAGCAATCAGCAGGACAGGATCCTGGAAGCAGCAAAAAGTCTTCAGTTGGACACTGGGGATATTTGTAATTGTGGGAGTAGGAAAAATACACTCTAAAGATAGAGAAGTGTTGATGTGGCACTATAGCCTCAGCTAGTCCAGTTTGAGCGCTATGTCTTCCTTACCAAAGGAAAGTGTTACTTTTTGCATCACCAAAAATGCCAGTCTTAGAAATGTGTCCACTGAATTCCAGAGATAGCTGTATATTTGCACAGCTTTTTAAAAGCAAGCATTCTTATCTGTTACTTTCTCTCATGGAATCCCAATAGTCAGATATAAGCTTGCCTACCTGGAATAGGAATCTCAAGTGCATAGCAAAATCATCCATCTAACAGGGATTCTAAAATTAGACAAGGTCCAATGCATTGGTCTTGAGAGCCATTCTGAATTTTAAACACTCCAAAGTTCAGAGGCATTGAGATCCAGAATTTTGCTTTGGGCCTATTTCTTATAAAATTACTATACATTGTATAATAAATAAGGAGCAGTATTGGCTGAAAGATACATTTTTCCCTTACAAGGTATCCCTTGTGTAACTCTACTGAAGGCATTGCTGTAAGACCAGGCATGAGTCTGACTAAGAGTCTTTCCTGTGTTGTAATGAATGGTGTTTAATTGCATTCCACACATTTCAGCCCTAAAGGAAATTCAACGTCTCTTCTGTGCACAGAACCCTACATCTTCCAAAGACTTAGGACTATAAATCAAAAAAGTTAGAGACTAACTCAGCTTAGGTGATAGAAATTTTTTTGGAATAATCCTTACGCTTGCACGAGGGAACTCCTGCTGTCCACTGAGCACTGTTTCCTTTCCAAATGCAGGTGATGACTCCCTGTCCTTCAAGCTGGTGTTCAGCAGAACACTGGAATGTGATCACTGTCCCAACTGTGGTGCCGTTGCCATGAATTATTTGTAACGTACCAAGCTGAGGGGGGAATATCTGGCTACACTGGCCTGCAGATGAAGGGGGAGGGGGACAGGAAAAAAAGAAACCAGAATTACATAAATTTAAGACCAAATCTCAGGTCCACTGAAATAAAGATTTATGAGACCCAAGCTAAGTAAACAGTCAAAAGATGCTGCTAGTTTCTGTAAGACAAATTCACCTCTCAAGAAAACCAGCACAAAGGCACTGACTGCTGCAAATCCCATTTAAATGCTATGTCCAGGATTTAACCAGGATGTACAACGTGCCCAGCCTTTGGCCGGCCTGCTGCCCACGTGGGAATTCCACTCTGCTGTGTGACATTTTCTCATAAAGATATTCAATACACAGTGAGGAACGTTTATGTAGTAGGTTATTCAGTGCTATCAAATTGCTAGCATTCATGTTTTCTTCTGAGACTTTAGTATTGCCATTTTTTAAATGTACGTGTCAGGAAAGAACTTTGTACATCAAAGCTCAAGGATACAATGCATTATACCTATTTTTTTTTTACATTAAAAAAAACCCAAACAAACAACTCTTTCCCCTACATGATTTCCCTATTTTCTTATTGTTTCAAATTCATTAGGTCCACATTCTCTCTGGAATAACTGAATGCTGCCTGCATTGGTTACCTGTTTTGGTTAGCAACTCTATAACTGGTTGTTGCCATGAGATGTCTTATTTAACATTGATTTTCCTACTGATTTTAACACAGTTTTTCATTGATCAGTCATTAAAAAAATAAATAAATACAGCGTTCTGAAATATCCAAAAAGACAAGTGATTTTTTCCCCATCCTTGTATGTTTGAGCTAATATAAACCCAATATATCTTTATTTTTCATATTTATCTTTACCAAATAATACTGTGTCTCTTTTTCCAGCGTTAGCATATGGGACTATTCAGTTGTTCCTGCAATTACTTGAATGCACCTGCACCATGAGTTAAAAGACTGGAGGTTTTAACCATAGTCATAAGCAGAAATACAAATGAGGATGTTTTCTTGCACTGGTTAGAAGCAGACAGAGGTCTACAGTTACTAAGATTTTTCTTCTTTTTTTTTTAAACAACTCTTTATTTAAGAAGTTTTACCAGGTTTGTGTGTTTATAGCAATTCTATTTTATTTGACATACCTGCATCTTCTAGTCCCTATTTATGTATTTAGCACAAAATCCTGGTCTAAAGTCAGTGGAAATTTACTACTGATTTCCATGGGAACAGGATATGGCTCTTATTTATTTGCAATTTGATTCTTCCTTAATATAAATGTCCAGTAGCATGCGAATAGTTAAATAATACCCATCTAATCCTGAACATTTAATGTGTGTAGAACAAAGATGCACCTCTTGCATAATACGGTCCTGTGTTTAATTAATATTAAGCTTCCTCTATGAAATAACAGCAAAGAAGCTACGACTCTTTTCCTGCCCTCAATTTCTGCCCTTAAAATCCACAAAAAACAAACAAAAGTCACGGGGATGACTACTGTTCCAATCTACTATGTAAATATGTACTGAAAACCTGACTTGACAGACTCTCTCTCAAAGTCTGTTTAGATTCTTTTTGTTTGCTCTGAAAGCAGTTTCAACTATGTACCTTATTACAATAATCAGCAACCACAAGAAGAAATATTTTCTAGAGAATCCTAAATCCTACTCTACTTTTTCCCAGTACCTGATCACTGATCCATGTCTGATACATAACCTGTGCCCCCTCTTGTCTGGGCTTAAAGCAGATACTATGATTTCATTTTAAAAGTTTTCTGCATAGCAGTTATCTTATCCATAAAAGATCTCCAGTTCAGAGTGTAGCATTTCATACATTTGATTTGTAAAATACCAGAGCATATAGCATGTCTTAGTCATACAGATGGTTAGCATTGTCATCAGTGATGCTGGTATCAATGAGAGATGCTAAGAGTAAATGCGAGTCAAATGTGGTCCAAAGGATATTTGTTTAGCAGTACAAAGCAGCCTTCATAAGAGCTTTTTGGTACACTTGACTGTTGACCTTCAATAACTCTTCTCCAAAGAACAATTTGCCATTTGATTCTTTCCTTCCAGATGTATTTAAAATTAATCCATTTGTTGACTTTGAATAATTTATGCGTCTGTAGCTAGTTAAATTGCTTCCTGCTTTTTCTTGCATTATCATCTCCCATAATGATATATGTAGGAGTAATTAAAACATCTATTCCAATTACCTTGTTCATACCCTTTCCTGCGCTAAAATATACTTTAAAATATTTCTTTTACTTAAAGTGTCTAAAAATGTTCTCATCAACTTATGTCCCACTAAGCTATGTATTTCCTTATGCCTCAGGGCTGTAATAGCATCATGTGTTTTCCTCAAGGATCATTCCTACATTTAGTGAAGTTGTCAAAAGGACTTCAATGACTTCTCTAGACAACATCTAATGAGGGACAAACTGTCAAAGGGTAAATTAGTGAGCTTAAACAAACATCCAAAAGTTCAAATGCCTATCTGAAACTTAAACCACTCAAACCTCTGTGGTCTTACAACCAAACTAGAAATCTTGCAAGGTCAAGTTTTTGTAGAAAGCATTTAATGTTTTTTTTCACTTTGGTCAGACTGGAAATACCACACAGCACTCATGTGAAATCTCAGAATCCTGGTTAATTCTTGCTTCATTCAGAAAAGTCTTAGCTCCACTAATTATTAAGGATGCAAAAGCAAGCTATCCTGATAACACAGATGAATGGGATGTGCAACAGGAGACCAATCTGGCTAGAGAGCAATCTCTTCAAGGAGTTGAAACTCAAAAAGGAATACTACAGAAAGTAGAAATTTGGTCACAATTCTAGAGAAGAATATACCAAATATCACACAGGCATGCAGGGGCAAAATTAGGATGGCTAAGGCATGATTTGAGACGTAACTGGCAAGGGATATAAAAGGCAATAAAAACAGATTCTCCAAGTATGTCAAGAGTAGAAAGAAGACCAAAAAAACTCTAGATCTCTTACAGAAGGCAGAAAGCAATATAGTTGTGGATGACACAGAGAAGACTGAAGTATTTAATGCTTTTATTTATTTCAGTTTTCACAAACAAAGGCAGCTACCAGATAATGAACACAGTTGGCAGCAAAGACAGGGAAGGAGTCAAAAAGCTTATAGTAATGCTAAAACAAGTTAAGGATTACTTAGGAGAAGCTAGATGCCTTCAAGTCAGTAGGACTGGATGGGATGCACCCTAGAGTACTGAAGGAATTGACTGAGTTCATTTCAGAGCCATCAGCCTCTTTTAAAACTCATGGAGGTTGGGCGAGATCCTTGTTGACAGGAAAAGAGAAAATATAGTGCCCATCTTTAAGGAAGCGAACAAGGAGGAGCCAGGGAATTACAGACCAGCCAGCCTGACCCTGACACCTGGAAAGATCATGGAGCAGGGCGTCAAAGAATTAATTGTACAGCACCAAAAGGAAAACAAGGCGATTATGAACAGTCAGCATGGATTCACCAAAGGCAAATCATGCCTGACCAATCTGATTTCCCTCTATGATAGGGTGACAGGCTCTGTGGATATGGGGAGATGAGTAATGTACCTTGACCTGACCTTGACCTTGTCTTTGATATCGTCTCCTATACTATTATCATTAACAAGATAAGGAAAATACAGACTACATGGAAGTACCACAAGGTCAATATGTGATTGGTTGGATCATCCTGCTCAAGAAGTAGTCATCAGTGGCTCAACATCACCCTAGGAGGAGGCATCAAGTGGGGTTCCCCAGGAGCCTGTCCTGGGTCTGGTATTAACATCTTCATTAATGATTTGGATGATGGTACTGAGTGCATGATGAGCAAATCTGTGGAGAATGCCAAAATGGGTGGAGTTGCAGATATTAGCTGTGTACATGTTTAAACGATCTGGAAGAATTCTTCCAAGTTTGTTTTTCTGGTAAACAAACTTAGTCAGAGACACCTGAACAGACATTTGAATGCTGAGCCCTTGAAGACCAGAAAACTTGCAATGAAGACATAGTGCAGCCAGGGCCCCCTGTGAACACATCTCAGTTTTCTCCTCAGGCTCAGAGACAGGTGACATCAATGTACAGGGCAGTCCTGACTGGCTGACCCAGGCTGCTTAGGGTCAGCCTGCGTCTCCCTGCAGAACAATGTGGGATTATGAAAGGGTCATGTTCTGTTTCCTGCCTGGCTGGAGCAACAGTGCCCAGTGAAGAGCGTAGTCTTCCTAAGGGTTCAGAACAAAATGCCATGGGATGCTGGAGGACTTTGCTGTGGCTTCTTTACTCTGAAAGGCTTGGAGATTAGGAAGAACTTTCTGACTATGAGGCTGGTCAAACATTGAAACAGACTATCAAGAGAAGTTGTGGAATCTCCATCCCTGGAAATTTTCAAGAGCAGACTGAATATAGGCACTTGGCTGGGATGACCCTACCTTGAGCAGGGGCCTGGACTAGATGACCGTGGAAGGTCCCTCCTGTTACAGCTGAAAAGTATGCCTGTGTGATAAAGGTGCTTGCTGAAGGCTCTATAATCTATGAAGATTAGACTAAGTGTTTTTCTGTCATTTGTTTAGATATTAAGCTATATGTTGTTGCTAAAAGCCTAATTAAAGTTTAAGATGTACAAGTTTAAGGCCTTATATAAAGTAAGGCCTAGTAAATTTAGCAAAACCTTGAAGTAGTAAGGCCCTGTGGCATAGTTAAAATTAACCTTATCAAAAGAATGCAAGGCTTGTACTGCTATTGGTCAGTCTAAAGACAGTTGAAGTAAAAATCTGAATGGCTGTAACTTATCAGCACAGCTCAGAAGGTATAAATTGGCTGGCACACCTGAAAATCATTTAGAAGGAAGATACAGCTCTGTGAAAGGGATTAATTAGCTGTTGACCTGCATCAGTGGGCCTGTGATCGGACAGCGCTGATCAGGGAAGCCCAACTTCGCTGACCTCTGTGGAAAGCAAAACTTATTATACATCAGGCATCAGAGGGGACTGCCAATAAGTTGCCGACGCAAATTAATATGGTCTGTCATTAT